ATTGTAGCCCTTCCTCTGTCCTTTTTCCACCTTCAAGATGGGTTCCCTCCCAGTTCAGACGACTTTCGATGTCGACGACGTTCTTTCACAATTGACAATAGCGGAAAAGGTTGCACTGTTATCAGGCATCGACTTCTGGCACACTGCTCCAGTACACAGACTTGGCGTACCATCGATACGAGTATCAGATGGCCCCAATGGCGTCCGCGGCACCCGATTCTTCAATGGCGTTCCTGCCGCCTGTTTACCCTGTGGTAAGGTCCATCGCTAAAGACTGATGGAGGAGCACAATTGACTTGCCACAGGAACTGGACTCGCTGCAACCTGGGATGCCGACCTCGTACGGAAGGGCGGAGCCTTGCAGGGCGCTGAAGCTATCGCCAAGGGTGCTTCGGTCATCTTAGGCCCAACCACCAATATGCAGAGATCCCCGCTTGGCGGTCGAGGCTTTGAAAGCTTCAGCGAAGATCCCTATCTCGCCGGTGCACTCAGTGCCGCTACCATCAACGGAATCCAGTCCACCGGCGTTTCTGCTACTATCAAGCACTTTGTCTGCAACGACCAGGAGGACCAGAGACAAGCTATTGACAGCATTATCACGGAACGAGCCCTACGAGAAATCTACCTAATGCCATTTCAGATGGCGCAGCGAGACTCCAAGCCGGACTGCTACATGACAGCGTACAACCGAGTCAACGGAACACATGCCAGCGAGAGTCCGCGGTTAATCAAAGATGTCCTCCGAGGAGAATGGGGATTCGACGGGCTGACCATGTCTGACTGGTATGTAGTGAATTTATTGGTAAATAATATCTGGTGTTGACCAAGACAGGTTTGGCACCTATTCAACAACAGAAGCTATCAAGGCAGGACTCGACCTCGAGATGCCCGGTCCTTCTTACATTCGTGGTCACCTGGTTAACCAAGCTCTTGGCTGTGGCAAGCTCCTTGTGCCTGATGTTGATGAGAGAGTACGTGAGGTTCTCAAACTTGTCAAGAAGACCCAAGCCCTAGGCATACCTGAGAATGCCCCTGAGACCACAATCGACTCTCCAGAAACCTCGGCCTTCCTTCGCTCGCTCTCATCGAATGGTCTTGTCCTGTTGAAGAACAACCACAACATCCTTCCACTCAACAAGAAGAAGACAACAGCTGTTATCGGTCCCAATGCGGCCTATGCATCCTATTGTGGAGGTGGTTCAGCTTCTCTTCTCCCTTATTACGCCGTCAGTCCCTTGGACGGAATTCGAAAGCAGATGCCCGAAGCCAAGTACGCTCTTGGTGCCCCGGCCTGGAAAGCTTTGCCTCTGATGACTCGATTGACCAAGACGAAGACCGGGGAAGAAGGCTTGACAATGACAGTCTTCTTAGATCCACCATCCGTGGTCCACCGAAAGGCAATCGACGAGGTATTTGTCAATAAATCAGACATACTCCTTGTCGATTACAAACATCCATTGATCAAGACATCACTGTACTGGATTGAGCTGAATGGCACCTTCACTCCTGAACGGACTACTGAGTACGACTTCAGTATGTGTTGTGCAGGTACAGGCAAGATCTTTGTGGATGGAGAACTGGTTGTGGACAACGAGACTCATCAGCGCCCTGGCAATTCGTTCTTCGGCTCTGGCACTGCAGAAGAGATTGGAAGAGTCAAGCTCGAGGAAGGCAAATCCTACGGCATCAAAGTCGCTTTCGGTACACTACCTACGATGACCTTCAGCAGTCCTGGCACAACCGGCTTTGGCGCTGGAGGCCTCAGAGTCGGACTCGAACGTAAAGCCGAGATCGGAATTGAGATCGAAAGAGCTGTTCAGCTTGCCAAAGAAGTCGATCAAGTTATCCTCTGCGCCGGCCTGAATAGTGAATGGGAGTCGGAAGGTTACGACCGTGAGCATATGGATCTGCCACCAGGCAGCGACGACTTGATAAAAGCCGTCGTTGCCGCAAACCCCAACACTGCCGTTGTCATTCAATCAGGAACACCGGTCACGATGCCTTGGCTGAAAGACGTCCCCGCAATCCTTCAAGCATGGTATGGTGGTAACGAGACAGGTAATGCTATCGCAGACGTGGTCTTCGGCAACACCAATCCCAGCGGCAAACTGCCATTGAGCTTCCCAATCCGAAACGAAGACAATCCGGCGTTCTTGAACTATAAATCCGAACGCAACCGAGCTGTCTACGGTGAAGACGTGTACATTGGCTATCGGTTCTACGAAAAGACCAACAAAGAAGTGGCATTCCCCTTCGGCCACGGTCTAAGCTATACAACCTTCGACATCACGGATCTGTCAGTTGAGGATGACGATATTGATATCTTCGTTTCTGCGACGGTGACCAACACAGGCAAGGTCGATGGTGCACAGGTCGTCCAAGTCTACTTCTCACAACGCAATCCCAGCCTCAATCGGCCCATGAAAGAATTAAAAGGATTCACCAAGACCTTCCTGAAAGCCGGCGAGAGCAAGACGGTCGAGATTGTGATCTCGAAGAAGTACGCCACCAGTTTCTGGGACGAAGCCAGGGATGCGTGGGTGATGGAGAAGGATGTGTTTGATGTCCTTGTCGGAGACTCGAGCGCCAACACGCCTCTCAAGGCACAGGTGACAGTTCGACGGACAGAATGGTGGACGGGATTGTAGAGAGAGCGATCGCTGAAGTTTGGGCATGTGTATTGATTTGCATGGCTTACGGCTATTATTACCGTAAGAATTTTTGGTGTGGCTGGCTTGTTTGAGAGTCGAGATGGTTCTGGAGTATTTCGGAGCAGGCTGTTAGTGGTGCTGACGACTGTACGAGACAACGAGGTTATGCACGTACTGTCAATCAGGCATTTCTGGAACACTCAACAAAAGCCTATTGACTTTCAAGACTATTGACTTTCAAAACATCTTCTGAGGAGAATACTGTGAAGCCTGATCGTGTTATGTCGATGACAAGTCAGATCGCGGATCAGGTTGCCAAGCCAAGCCATGACATATCAATCAAACTTGAAGACGATCGCCAGATGAAGCATTCCCGAGTCCTCCAATACTTCACCTCTCAGCGATGTCTACCGTTGATCAGACCTTGAAGTCTGTAAAAAGATTCTGATCTGGCATACACAGTGAAGTCCTCACGGTGAATGCGCGCAGACATAAATTCCGGCGTAATTTGTCAACGATGTGAGAGGCAACTACGCTCTAGCTAGGCTTTCATTCCACACAATCTTTTCTTATTCTCCATTGTTTGTATCATCAGGACTCGAATTATTTTCTTTGGGTGTTGGAAGTGGAAGGCTTCGCGCATCTAAGAACGGGCACTTGAGTGTGAGTCTTGTTCTGACTCAAGGACACAAATCGAAAAGTCACGGAAACTTCACTTCGAAGGTGAACTTCACGGCCGGCTCGACTATCCGACTACGATCAACCTAGCTCCACTACAGAATCAATATCGCCCTGGGTCTGCCGTTTGTTGAAATTTTGAGACACAAATTCAGAGAGGGCACGTCAATCTCAATTCGGAGGTGAACTTCAGAGCCAGTACGAACATCAGACTACGATTGACTCAGTCTGATAACACCCTCTAACATCGCTGTTTACGACTACCTCACGGTCCCAGATCCGTAATCACATCCTCAGTCACCATATCCACTCAACCCGCTCCTTCGCTGTCTCGCTTGATTTGCCCGCACCGAATTCATTTTTCACAATGCCCTCACCAACAGCAACTTCACTACCGATCCTCTACGCCCTTGGTTCCAATTCTTCCCGTCAACTCGGCATTGGTCACACGAATGACGTGAACACGCCGGAGAAGTGTATCTTCCAGCCCGATGAGCGAAATGTACGTCCTGGGGCAGACTCTGAAGCTGTGAATGGCGGTAAGATTGTCGAGACTCTCAAGAAGGTCGTTGCGAGTGGGAATCATACGCTCGTTTTGACGGATCTGGGCCGACTGTTTCTTGCTGGGAACAACCAGAAGAATGAACGAGGAGAGGAGGTAGAAGCGTATGCGGTCTTTAAAGAAATCACGCATGACATCATGCACGGACCCAGGCTCAGCAAGCAACCTGGCAAGGTTATCACGGATGTCGCGGCTACTTGGGATGCTTTCTGCGTTGTGATGGACGGGCAGTTCCTTCACAGATATACAACGAGTCCAGCACACGGTCTTCTTGGCAAATACTTCGTGTTCCAGGGCCTGTACTGCTGGGGAGATAAGAAGATCATTACCATCGAGGCTAGCATGGGACATGTGCTGATGACTCTGTCGAATGATGAAGTCCATGGTTGGGGAGCGTGTCGGAAGGGACAGCTGAGTGAGCGATACAAAGTGCAGAAGAATCTCAACAGTCCGAACATGCTGGATCTCCGATCGGAGGATTCGACTCTTTCTTTCGCACCGGAGAAAATAGTCCTGGGGAGGGAATACACGGTCTTCCTGAAGACAGGCGAAAAACCGGTCGTCTGGGGGGAGAAGAAGATGTTCAAAAAGAACGATTTTGACTGGCGTCTGGGACACGACGACACGGCCGTTTCTGGATGGAGCTCGGTACATGTCCTCTGGAGGAAGTCTTCTCTTGGCTCGGTGGCAAGCATTGGCAAGAACAACCATGGTCAATTCGCTCCGACTGGCCTGCCACCCGTCCGTAAGCTGGCGGCAGGAAGCGAGCACTGCGTGGCTCTCACCGCCGAGGGACAGGTCATTGCATGGGGATGGGGTGAGCACGGTAATTGTGGTGAAAAGATCGATGAGAAGGGGAATGTGCGCGAACGATGGAACGTGATTTCGATGCCTCAGTTGGAAGAGGGTGTCGTTGTGAAGGACGTTGCTGCTGGGTGCGCCACCACCTTCGTGATCTGCGGTAGGGAGGAGGACTGAAGTGCAGGAAATGCATTCCTGACGATTCTCGCCTGCCATAACATGGAATCCAGCTTCGAGCGTTTCAGCACGCCAAGAGCGCACAACAATCCCAGGAGTGCGACGGACGCAAAAAGTGAATTGCAAGCTTTTAGTCAGTGGAGGATTTGAACCTCCGTTCTTCAGGTCATGGGCCCGACGATTTTGACCGCTAATCCATCCGATTGGGGCTGATTTTGAGACGAATTTGTGGTATTCTTTGTCTTATGCTCAGTTTCCCGTCGAGGGTGGAGGCTGTGAGGCACACTGAGTGGCGTAGTAGCTCGAACGGCGCAAATTACCCTGGTGAGTCACCCAAGGCGAAAGCCATCACGACATCCTCAGACTGACACATCAATCGAAGATTCCCTTATATTGCGAGAGTCTTTGCGTCGGAGCAATTTCTGCGGGGAATCTCGACCTCGTCAAGCGATTTCTGTTCCGTTGCTGTTGTTCTTGCTCCTGCATGGAAGCGAAAGAATGCAATTCAGAGTCGCGGATTCGACGCATCGAGTTGGACGCCGACATGCTTTCGTCCGCAGTATTATCCCATGTCACTATGTCCGGCTCTTCCTCGAAATTGGGTTCATCCCATTGTTGATCGTCATCGTCGGCCGGGATGAAAAGGCTGTTCGGATCGATGCTTGCGGACGGGGCTGCTGGAGCAGAGTCTGTTGAGTCGGGTTTGGCAAGTTGTGGCTGCGAAGTAGCGCCATCTCTGTCACGAAATGATGAACGTGCCGGAGGCGGCATATCTCCCTGTGCAGCTGTTGTTGGTTGAGGAGCCGCTTGTCGCCCGGAAGGTGGAGCTGGAGTCTCCGCAGGCCGCGACACTGACCTCATGGAAAGATCTCGTGCCGGCGTTGCAGTCGTGGAAGCAGAAGTGTTGCTTGGGACGTTTGTCGAGCCTCTGGTCATCAATGTGAATTCTGCGGTAAGGCCACCCTCGCCATATGTGATCTGCATCGGCCGATTACCCCGTGAGTATCTTGCTGTGACATGAGTCCGCATTGTCTCTGCGTGGGCTATGATCGATCGGAAGTCCCTGACCATAGTGCCAATGTGGAGGCCCTCCTGCACGTTAAAGTCATTGAAATCCTTGCGTTCTACGGCGACCGAGGTATGCATGGGCTGCTTGAGGATCTCTGCATCACCGTGAGTACAAGGAAGACAAATCGAAGTCATATGGCATACCTCTTCCCGCCTGGATCTTCTCGGTATAGCTAGTGAAGGTCACCTTTCCATTCTGGAACGACCAGTCCAGTTGATCAGTCTTGGGTCCAAAGTAGTCCACCACGTCCCTGAGGGTTCGCGAGGATGCCGTCCAGTAGTTCGTCGAACCAAGCTGGTCAAATGTTGCATGCATAATCTCTCCGGTCTCGTAGAACAGTCGATAAGTCTTGACCACGCCTTGCCGGCAATGTAGTCGAAAGACTAGTCGACATTCTGCTTGATCTGGGTTGGCCTGCAATTCACATTCGCAGTTCTCGAGTCCACCTTCCTTGTCTCGATCGCCAAGCCGGCGCTTAAAGATGGAGAGTAACGCCTTCTGCAATTAGAGCTTTGCCATTTTGGCAGGAAGGAGGCTTACCCGATTCTGGAGCTTGCACGACCATTGCTTTGGCAAAGCAGGTCCGGGAGTAGTCCTAGATCCTGGAGAGAAATGGTATTTGTTGAAAAATGAAGACTTCAGAGTGAAAGCTGCATGTGCGGTCTTTGATGTGTTAAGGCTCGAGAGCCGCAGCTTATTTCATTAGTTAGGAATACCTGTGGTGTCTTCATTAATGCCGGACTTACAAATTGAGGTGTGGCTTCGATCGAGACATCTTCGTCAAATCTGGCGAGGCAAGTGAGGAAGTCATGAAAGTGCACCACTCCCGAAGGAGCGACGGTGAAAAGAAGAGTCGGCATTGGACAGCATCTCTGTTGTAATCAAGTGCCAGTTGCCTCTTGATGCAGAATCCGTGCTGGAAACTGAATCGCGACTGTGGCAGACGCGCTCGACAGCGAACGCGTTGACGTCATCGGGTTCACCTTCCCCCGATTCCGATCATCAACAACTCGACACCATCTCATGTTCCTTCGACATACCAATAGACACGCAGATGTATCGATCCAAAGTGCTTCGCTGATGCTCACAACTCTTCCATTATCTACAGTCGTAAATAGTCATATGAGGTTTACCCTCTCCTGACTGGACGCTTCAACTTTGATCATGGCTTCATACCATGGCGAGACCTTGCCAGAAGAGATTCTCTCCCTGGTATGCCAGGAACTCGGGAGCGACAGAGATTTCGGCTCGCTTTACAAGTGCGCTCGAAGCTCGAAGACATTTGCCGATCCGGCGTTAAGAACAATGTATCAGTGAGTTTACTGCACAAAGACGTTAGAAGTTCTACTCTAATTTGAGCCAGGATCCACCAGCATTCACCAACATTTGAGCAGCGGGATGATCTCGATTTCAGACAACGACCTGTAGACTATGCCACTAAGACGGCCGAAGTTGCTGACTTCTATCGAAAATGGACACTCTTGTGGCGGTCCATCACGCTTTCAAGTCTCGATGGCAATCTGACCTACAAACCCTACTGCCGCTATATCAAGACGCTGGACTTCCGAAACCTGTCCGCTATGCTGGATGATCTCAAATTCGTGGGACCTGTACGAACAGCCTTTTTTGCTGGAAAACTTCGACCTTTCAATTTCCCAAAACAAGAGTTTAAGAGACAAGTGGTTGATGTCGTTGCAACTGTTAACGCAATAGGGGATGCTGTCACCGCGAAGACAACGTTGTTGGAGGAGATTGACGGTCACATCAGTCCTGGCTTCCTTCCCAGATGGATATCTCGCTCCCCCAAGCTACAGTCAATGGTTCTCTGGAGGGGCGATGCCCTGGTCAATGGCGCTGGTCAAGCGATTGCGGAGCATTGCGACAACTTCCGGAATCTTACACTCCATGAGTGGTCATCGCCAGACGCAGATGAAACCTTCGCAACCTTCCTCAACGAGCTAAAGCCGGATACATTGACCTACTTCGAGATGATCAGCTACAATAATATTGGGAAGCTCTCTTTTCAAGCACTTGGTCGGCATAAGACCCTGCATCAACTGGACCTGGGCAACTTGAACGAAGACGCCGTGCGGAACCTGAACGCGCTGAAGGGCTGCACTTCCCTACGTACACTCAAACTGGATGACAACTTCGGCAATGTGCGACTTGAGGAGCTCAACAATGACGTCTTTCTCGAGGTGGTCGAATGGCTTAGCTCTTGTCGAGAGCTCCGCGACCTTAGCCTAAAGAAGTTCTTTGACGCGCCTGCGATCCTTGCTCGTGTCTTGCAGTCTCCAAATGTGAAGCTGACAAGGCTGTCTCTCGAAGGCTATACTGTTCGGGGTGGCAATGCGATGCTCTTCCATACCTCGCTTGCAGAGCAGAAAACGCTGGAGTCGGTATGGCTGAAAGGAAACGGTGAAGACACCACAGTGGCCGATCTTAACATCATGGTCGAAGGGCTTTGCAACCTAACCAATCTGCGAGAACTGGTCCTGAAAGACGTTTCCGACGAATTCAACGAGGAGCATATTATGACTCTGGCTTTGAGCCTTCCACGCCTGGAGGATTTTTGGACTAGTGGTGGCGACGTTTCAGGAGCGATTCTGGCCCCTCTCACTCAGCTCAAGCACCTGACGAATCTGACCTTGTACGCAATGACTCAATTTCACTCTGACCAGATCATGGAGTTCTTGATGAGTCTTGACACAGAGTCCCAAAAAGGCTTCAATCTGTCTCTGATGGCCGCCGATCCGGAATTTGACCTGACGGAGGAGAACCAAGAAATGATTCGGGAGTACATCCGAGCCAATCTCGACGGCCGGTTTGATTTTGTGCTCTGGAGAGAAGCAGATCTGAGCGATAGCGAGGATGACTAGTTGAATAGCCCGATCGTGAGAGAGCGAACTCTGAAGCATAGCCGCTATCATTTCGGCAGTGGTGGCATTCCTGGTCTCCCTGGTGCTCCATGCAAGGCTTCCCGAAACATCAGGCTGTACCCGCTATCAAGTGAAGAGCGGCGCAATTTAGATTTTATCCGGGTGATCCAGGACCTCATTTTGAGTGGGCAGCAGTACCACGTTGTCATGAGGTGGGCGAGATATCACTGGTACCTGACACATTCGTGAGAACGGCAACCAGGAAGACATCTTCCCATCCACATGCGCGAACTGTTGTCTCCACGTTCATCAATCGCAACTATTCTGGCTCAAACTGCTGCAAGCCCTTGTGGAATGTTGGCTAATCGGTCTCCGGCCACAGCTGTGGTACCAAGGGCTTTTTCCAATACTAGGCCAAATCGGAAGACATCTGCGAAGGAATTGTACAATGGGGCTGGAGCAACTCGGATCACATCTGGTTTTCGCTCATCGATAACAACGCCATTGTTTTCTAGGTGTTCCAGCACGTGGTCCAGCAGCCCTGGTGCCAAGCGAATGCTTAGCTGCGCGCCTCTTTCTTCGGGGTTTCTCGGAGTGATAATGTCGAATTGGTTGGGTTTTCTCTGCGCGACCTCCTCAAGCAACTTCTCGAGATAGGCCGTGAGTCGAAGAGACCTTTGTCGCAACTCTCTCATAGAGGTTTCGTCAAAGACCTGCAAGGAGGCGATTAATGCGGTGATGTCGAGGGCACTGGGATTGGACAATTGGTATCCCGCCGCGCCGGGCCTAGGCACAAATTCTACAAACGTCAATCGTCGGTTGCTTATGCTTCCTGGGCAAACTTACTGTTTGTCATCTGGAAACGACCGCTCTTATCGTCTCCCCACCATCCTGTCAATCGTGGCCAGTACCTCTGCCCTGTCTCCTTGTCCATTTCTACTCTGCCATACTTCTCATTCACGAAGATGCCGCCAATGGCACCGGGCCCGGCATTCAGATACTTGTAAGTGCACCAACAAGCGAAATCAACATCCCATTCATGCAACTGAATGTCAACGTTGCCGGCGGCGTGTGCAAGGTCCCAGCCTATCAAGATACCCTTTGAATGAGCATGCTTCGTGATCAGGGGTATGTCAAAGTATTGGCCTGTGTAAAATTGTATGCCCGGAAGGAGGATTAGTGCAAGCTCATCAGCGTGTTCGTCGATCGTGTCGAGGATTTGTTTCGTTGGCAAGATCGGATATTTCTCGTCGGCTG